GCACCCATGTTGCTGCAAAGGACACGATTTTGTTCTTTTTTGTGGCTGTGTGGTATTCTATGGTGTATATGTACCACATTGTTTTGGTAAAGCCAGGGTTTCACTGTGTTACCCAGGCTGATCTCGAACTCCTGGGCTCAAATGATCCGCCTGCCTCCGCTTTCCAATGCGCTGGAATTTCAGGCATGAGCTACCAAGCCTGGCCTGACTTGTCTTTGCTTAACAGCATTTTTCCAGGAGCAGACTTATTGTTAAACTTTGATGAAATTCAACTTACTATTTTTTCCTTTATGGTTTGTGCTTTTGTGTCCATTTAAAGTCTTTTTGCTTAGGCTAAAGTTACAAAGAATTCTCCGTTTTCTTCTAGAGGTTCTGTTGTTCTAGTCCCTACATTTAAGTCTGATCCATTTTGAATTAACTTTGTATATTGTGCGATAAGGGTCTAAGTTCATTTATTTGCATATGGATATTCAGTTTTTCCAGCACCATTTGGGAACGATTATCTTTTTCCCATTGAATTATATTGGCACCTCTGTCAAAAATCAATTAATCATAATCATGTAAGTCTATCTGTAGACTCCGTGTAGCTTTGTGGTAAATCTTGAAATCAGGCAGTGTTATTTCAACTTTGTTCTTCAAAATCGTTTTGGATATTTTGAATCTTTTGACTGTCTGTATACATTTTGTATTTGGCTTGCCAGTTTCTAAAACTAAAAATCACTGACATTTTGATTGACATGGCATTAAATGGATTAATTAATTTGAAAGAATCGTAATTGATATCTGAAGATTGTTTAAATGCTCTGTCCTGAAAATAATGCATTGCTTTCATTGGATCTTGTTAAATTTATCTCTAAATGTTTCATATTTTTTGTACCATTTTAAATGGTATTTTATATTTCAACTTCTATTAACAAATACAAATAATTTGATTTGTTATTAATAAATAGTATTTATTAATATATTTGTATTTTTTTTTTGAGATGGAGTTTCACTCTTGTTACCCAGGCTGGAGTGCAATGGCGCAATCTCGGCTCACGGGACTCTCCACCTCATGGGAACAGGCAATTCTCCTGCCTCAGCCTCCTGAGTAGCTGGGATTGCAGGCACGCGCCACCATGCCCAGCTAATTTTTTGTATTTTTAGTAAAAACGGGGTTTCATCATGTTGACCAGGATGGTCTCGATCTCTTGACCTCGTGATCCACCCGCCTCGGCCTCCCAAAGTGCTAAGATTACAGGCGTGAGCCACCACACCCAGCCTGTCCATTTTTTTTCCCTACACCTATTGGGATAATCATATGGCATTTTTTTTAGACTGATAATAAAGTGATTACACTGATTACATTGATTTTTTAAAACTCTAAGCTACACTTTTCTTCTACTTTAATTTTTTCAAAGTTACTATTTTTTAGATTAAGGCACACTTTACATATAGTAAAGTCATTATCTTTAGTGTACTTTTTTAAATGTAACAAATATTGTCAAATGTACACAGTCATGTCACCATTACAATCAAGATATAGAGTAATTATATTACCCTAACCCCAAATTTCTGCATGTTTCTTTTTCTTTCTTTTTTTTTTTTTTGAGGAGTTTCATTCTTGTTGCCCAGGCTGCAGTGCAATGGAGTGATCTCAGCTCACTGCAACCTCTGCCTCCCAGGTTTAAGCAATTCTCCTGCCTCAGCCTTCCGGGTAGCTGGGATTACAGGCACCCACCACCATGCCTGGCTAATTTTTTTGTGTGTTTTTGGTAGAGACGGGGTTGGCCAGGCTGGCCTTGAATTCCTGACCTCAGGTCATCCACTTGCCTCGGCTTCCCAATGTGCTGGGATTACAGGCATGAGCTGCTGCTCCTGGCCTCCTCTTCTTTTTTTAATAGACAGGGTCTTGCTCTGTTGCTGAGGCTGGAGTTCCTTCATCATAGCTTATTGCAGCCTGGACCTCCTGGGCTATTCCAAAGGAGTAATACAGTGGTCTGTAAGCTTCAAAAGAAGTTAAAACCATCTAGGTAGGTAGGTCTCAATTCGCAAGTTGTAAAGGTACTAAAACAATAGAGAGGGTACAGGGTGAAGTTGTAATCAAATGATGATGATACATTTCCAAGAATAATTTCAGAGTTAGATTTATCCATAAACCCATTTTGAACTTGTGTCTGCAGCAAGAGGAAATAGAATGGTAGTTCTGACACCAGACTCTGTAAGAAGAGGAAGAAGGAAGTCTTCCCACAGAGTGATAGAGAAATCTAGTGCAGAAAGGTCCTAATTACTTGTTCTTGTATTCGCAGGAGGCAAATCCTGAGGATTATCAGGGGAAAAAGCATTTCAGGCAAATGAAATTCCAACTTTGACAGCCCTGAGGTGGGATTCTGAAGCTTAGTTTACAGATAAAGAAAAGACTTGGTGAGATTAGCTATTGGAGTTCTTCTGGACTAAAATTAACTGTATAGTACGGTGTCCCTGGGAGACATGAGGCTTGAAGATCTAGCACCAGCTGATGAGAAACATAGTGAGCATTTTTCAGTATTGCTGTCCCCTGTGCAAATTAGTGAAGCTTTTATTTGAGAAAGCGTGTGAACTGAGATTCTGGGGTTTGATGGTGAAATGGCAGGGTTGGTCAGCTGCTTTCACAGCTGGTGTCCAAGGCTCAGTTAGTACACTTATATGAGGCGAGACCATCTCACCACTCATTTCTCTACTGCTCATTCTCTACTGCTCGTGAACCCAGAGTAGAGAACCTGCTCATGTCCCTACTCTGGGTTCTCATATTTTCCCTAACTAGGTTATATTATTGGAAAGGAATTGACTAGACCATGTATTCTTAGTTTCTCATGGAAATGAATGACTGAATTAAATATTAGTTATGAGCTGCAGACATTTCTCATGGGAAATGCTGGAGATAATCTTTTGGAAAAAACCGTATTTTTTGTCAAGATTACAGTTATGGAGAACTCTAAGTGTGATAAATGATGAGTTTTATAGGTAAATTCACCAGAACTCTTTTTCCATAAATTTCACAGTTTACAATTTCCACACACTTTTAGTAATTTTATAAAAAGTTTCTCCAGATGGCTTCCTGTTTTTCGCATTGGCGTTCATTTCTGTCTTAGGCACCAGGAAGCTGAATACCATGACAGGCACGTATTAGCAAAGCACACCTGTGTGAAACCTGTCAGAATCAAAATGGAATCACTACTGTTCAAACACACAAAACAGAAAACAAAAGCCGCTGATAAACAGAGCTGGAAAAGGCCATGCTTGATACCAGAAACGATCACAAAAGACTGTAAAACCTACAACCTTGCACAAAGACATCACACACTTACACACAAAATACTGCTACAAGGACACCTGCCCCACAACTGCCTGGCCAACCTCGGACTGGCTTCCTCTTTGTTTTCCATCTTTGTAGCAAACGATAATGACTTCAACACAGTTATATAATCCTTCTCATTTTTCCTTTAAAATCCTTTGTCACCGGGCACTGTGGCTGATGCCTGTAATCCCAGCACTTTGGGAGGCCAAAGCAGGCATATCACAAGGTCAGGAGTTTGAGAGCAGCCTGGCCAATATGGTGAAACCCCATTTGTACTAAAAATGCAAAAATTAGACTGACGTGGTGGTGCACGCCTGTAGTCCTAGCTACTCGGGAGGTTGAGGCAGGAGAACGAGACTCCAACTCAAAACAAAAACGAAAACAGAAACAAAAAAAAATAACAACAACAACAACAAAAAAAACCTTTGTCAGGCGAGGTGCAGTGGCTCACGCCTGTAATCCCAGCACTCTGGGAGGCAGAGGCTGGTGGATCACCTGAGGTCAGGAGTTTGAGGCCAGCCTGACCAACATGGAGAAACCCTGTCTCTAAAAACATAATAAAATAAAAACCGTTGTCTTCCTTTGCCTCCCGCATAGACATAATTTCCAATGGCACCCATATTTTCACAGCAGTGCTCTATTCCCAGATAAACATCATTTTCTTTCAGAGAGCTCTTCTTTCTTATTTAGGCTGACACCTGTAAGTGGAATATTACATTTCATCTTTTTTAAATTGTGAGGGGAGGGAGAGTGTTTTTTTTTTTTTTTTTTTTGAAACGGAGTTTCGCTCTTGTTACCCAGGCTGAAGTGCAATGGTGCGATCTCGGCTCACTGCAACCTCCGCCTCCTGGGTTCGGGCAATTCTCCTGCCTCAGCCTCCTGAGTAGCTGGGATTACAGGCATGCACCACCGTGCCCAGCTAATTTTTTGTATTTTTAGTAGAGATGGGGTTTCACCATGTTGACCAAGATGGTCTCGATCTCTTGACCTCGTGATCCACCCGCCTCGGCCTCCCAAAGTGCTGGGATTACAGGCTTGAGCCACTGAGCTCAGCCTAGAGTGTTATATTTTATTTGTCCCATTACAATTGTGCAATATCATATGAGCTGCTCAGTTCCTAAACATATGTACACACACAACGACTTCTCATGTTTTGTGTCTCAAACACAAATTACAAAAGTTGTACGATTTTCCTTGCCCTTCAGAAAGGAGAATTTCAGTGTTTCCAAAATGAACTGGGCAGTAACTCCGATTCAAGGCGGTAGATCCCCTCTCTTCAACCCAGTTGTCTGTGTTTAATATAAGCTTACCTTTATTATTCCTTCCCATAAAGAGAGGAGGTGCTAAGCAGACAGGACAGAGGGCAACAGGCTCAATAGGGGCAATGTTCCTCTTTATTCTACCTAAGGGAGCAGGATGCAGAATTTTTTTTTTTTTTTTTTTACCGATGTGAAAGTTTTACAGTAAAACGCACAAATTCTAAATGTTCAAGGAAATGAATTGTTCATACACTTGTATGTTCCGTACCCTTACTCAGATTAAAACATTTTAGAACATTTTGAAACATTTCTAATATCCTCAAAAACTTCCTTAAGTTTGCCTATGTTTTCAAAATGAACCTGAATACAGGATAGTCAAAAGCTATAGGTAAATCCTAAAGTATCCAAACAGTGCATCACAACATCCTTCGATAGCTCAGCTGGTAGAGCGGAGGACTGTAGGGGTTTGAATGTGGTCATCCTTAGGTCGCTGGTTCGAATCCGGCTCGAAGGAGTTCGTTTTGAAAGGATCTCTCCAACTTACAGAACGCCGTGAGTGAGCAGCTTACTTGCTTATACATGAATTTGTAAGACGCTCAGAAGGAAAAGAATCCACAGCGAACAAGCGTTGCTTTAAGGACAGTCAACTGAGAGAAAAAGTCTCTTGAGTGAGACCTAATTTTCACCAAGTTGAGAAGGGATCATGAGGAATGTGGGGAGCGGGAAGAACACGCTGCCCCAAGGCTTCATTTTTTTTTTTTTTTTTCTTTTTTGGCTGTTCGACGGTCCTTTAGCTGTTATGTTGATAGTTCGTGTGAATACACATTTTATCAATGATAATTTCAAATACATACCAAGTAGAGAATCAGCCTGAAGAACTAGCATTAGCCACCACACTGGCACAACTGACGGAGACTCTTGTATCATGCCCCTCCCCTAACTCCCGGTCTTTTAAAGCCACCCGAACACACGTGCTCTCATCTCATTAACTATACTGTGTTTTGAAGATGTCAGTGTTAAGAATTAAATAGCAATTCGACAGAGTTTATTGCTGTCATCGTACCCCATTCCTCTTCAGAAAAGGAGCAGTGGACACCTGACAGAAAGTTCTCAATAAAGCTAAGGCAACAGAAGCGTGAGAATTCGAAGAGTCTATGATTAGACTTTCAGGCACTCCGTGAGAACAGCTCGGCGCCCTGTTAACTTCAGAAATATACTTGGGGACTTGCAAAAACTGTCATCTCTGATATTAACAGTGGACACGTTTACCCCCTGCTTCCATTCTCTGGGCTACTCTGCGCTCCTGTTGGAGTGAGATGGGAAATTTTGTATTGATGGTCCTCAAACTCTTCCCTGGGCTGCTTCCAGAAAGTCATCCGGATTATTTGTACGCGGTTCCCAGCACTGCCTTTTACAGCCCGCCTGGCGCTGGCGCGGATCCGAGGAACTGAAGCGCCTCAAGAGTGGGGACGGCGCCCCCTGCTGGGAGCACCCTCGGCCGACGATAACAGGCTGAGGACCCGAGCCCGCGAGAGGAAAATGGCCCTGGGCGTGGCATAGGGAAGGTCCCCAGGCCTCCTGGCGGGGAGCAGGACCGCTGGGGCCCAATCAATTCTGTGGTTGCGTCGGTCATAGAAAAAAAAGTGGTTTGTGATCTGATGGGGAATCTGTGAGGACAGACCCAGGGCGGGCAGAACTAAGCGACCCGGGAGTCACCAGAATTGGAGTCGTGTGTGCCTCTGACATGTATTTGCAGCTTAAATATGCATGTGGATAATGTATCAAGACACACGTGTCATAGATGCCAAGCAAATGGTTCAAATAATTGTCGCATATTTACATTTTTAAACATTCACAAATCAAATTTAAAATATTAGACTAAAAGCAACTTAAATTTTCAAAAATTAAATCTAATTAAATTTCCAAAATTAAACTGTTTTCAAAATTTAAATTTTAAAATATGCAAAATTCCAAAGTAAATTTCCAGAAATAATTTATTTGAGTTTAGTTTTTGAGACAGGGTCTTGCTCTGTCGCCTAGGCTGGAGTGCAGTGGCGCGATCTTGGCTCAGTAAAACCTCCGCCTCCCGCGTTCAAGCGATTCTCCTGCTTCAACTCCCCGAGTAGCTGGGACTCCAGGCTCGCGCCTCTATGACCGGCTAAATTTTGTATTTTTAGTAGGGACAGGGTTTCACTATGTTGGCCAGGCTAGTCTCGAACTCTTGACCTCGTCATCCGCCCGCCTTGGCTTCCCAAAGTGCTGGGATTACAGGCATGAGCCACACCGCTCCCGGCCTTCCAGAAAGAATTAAAACTTCAAAACTCAAATTTTTAAAATGAAATTTATCAACTTTAAGACAGTCGTTCCTCAGCTGTAAACGCACCCGGGGCCCTTGAATAAAATGCTATTTTGATTGCTAGAACACATAGTACCTTCCCTACAATTGTTCTGCAAAACTCTCCAGAAAGCCAGTATCAACCTGACTTTTACCATCTCAACAAGGCGTTCTACACGGTAGGTTATATTTGGGGATCTGCCTTTTCTGCTTCTGCCTGTCCTGAATTGGAGACCTGACCGGGAATCCGTGAGCCTAACCCGAGCGTTCTATCCCGCTCCCACGCTCAAATCAGGCTTCCGACCCGATACCCTACTTCCGCCCTCTCCCCGGATCCGCCTGCCTAGCCCAATCTTTTCATTTGTCATTAACGCCTCGGCCCCGCCCCCTTGTGTCAGGCCGTCGCACGCGTTTTGCGTCGGTTGGCAAGGCACTTTACGGCCGTCGTGCTGTTCGTGTCGGTCAACATGGAGGGAGAGGAATCCGAGAAGGCCGGAACTGAGCAAGAGACGCTGGAAGGGACGGACCAGGCACTAGACGCAGAGGAGGAGCAGGAGGAATCCGAAGAAGTGGCTTGTGGCAGCAAGAAGCGGGTAGTGCCAGGTATCGTGTACCTGGGACATATCCCGCCGCGCTTCCGGCCCCTGCACGTCCGCAACCTTCTCAGTGCCTACGGCGAGGTGGGACGCGTTTTCTTTCAGGCTGAGGGTAAGTGTGCAGACCCTGGCGGTGAAAGGAGGAGGTGGTCGCGCGCTGGCGGGGGGCAAGCATGCATGTCCTCTTGGTTCGCTGCGCAGGGCTGAGGCGCGAGCTGCTGGATTTGGGCGGTGGGCAGTGCGGTGCTCAGCTCCCGGCTGGTGACGGTGCTGGGGTGGGCGCGCCGTGGGGATCTGGGAGAGTAGGTAGCGCAGTGTGTCTGGTGCTTCTTTAGTTCTCGGATTGTCACTGTTTGCGTTCTTACTCCGGTTCTGCTCACCTCTCCCCGGACCTGTTCACTGGTTTGTTACATGAGTACAACCCGAGTAAAAGCCTGCTCAGCTCTTCTACAAAACTGAACACACACCTTTGGCATCGCGACCTTGGTCAAGAAACGATTTGGTCAATCGCCCCCCGTCTTTTCACCCCCTTGCAGGCACTGCTTGAGGTTGGGGACTTGTGCAGGTTTTAAATAGCGGTCGGGGCAGGCCAGATTAAGGAGTGGACATTTGAGGAAAGACTTGAGTTAGAGGAAAGGGCGTGACTTAAGAGTTCCCTCCATCCGGCGGAAACTCTCAGGTGGGACTCCCGCTGGCAGATGCGAAGAACAATATGGGCAGTGGGAGGTTTGGTTTTGGGGGAACGCGGCCTAGGCATCCTCGACAGGGCTTTGCCTTTGGGTCGCAGACAGGTTCGTGAGACGCAAGAAGAAGGCAGCAGCAGCCGCGGGAGGAAAGAAGCGGTCCTACAGCAAGGACTACACCGAGGGATGGGTGGAGTTCCGCGACAAGCGCGTAGCCAAGCGCGTGGCAGCCAGTCTACACAACACGCCTATGGGTGCCCGCAGGCGCAGCCCCTTCCGTTATGACCTATGGAACCTCAAGGTGAGGAGCTAGATCTTTCTGCCACACTTCTCACCCTCCCTTCTCTGCAGCCCTGGTCTAAGTATCCCCATGGCCTCTCGTTGGCCTTGCGCCTCCCCCACTTTTCTCTCTCATCTGCTCTATCCTGATCTTTTCTGATTTTCTGCCCACAGTACTTGCACCGTTTCACCTGGTCCCACCTCAGCGAGCACCTTGCCTTTGAGCGCCAGGTGCGCAGGCAGCGCCTGAGAGCGGAGGTTGCTCAGGCCAAGCGTGAGACCGACTTCTATCTTCAAAGTGTAGAACGGGGACAACGCTTTCTTGCTGCTGATGGGGACCCTGCCCGCCCAGATGGCTCCTGGACATTTGCCCAGCGTCCTACTGAGCAGGAACTGAGGGCCCGGAAAGCAGCACGGCCAGGGGGCCGTGAACGGGCTCGCCTGGCAACTGTCCAGGACAAGGCCCGCTCCAACAAAGGGCTCCTGGCCAGGATCTTTGGAGCCCCGCTACCCTCAGAGAGCATGGATGGAACGTCCCTGGTCAGGGACTCCTGAGGGCCAGGGGGACTCCTGAGGGCCAGGGAGACCCCTTCCATCTCCTGGCCCTGCTCTACTTCCTGTCTACCTCATACTAGAAGGATTGTGACTACCCAGGCAGACATTTTATTGTGTTTTTCAGACCAAATGTCTCTGGTCAGGGCCCAAACGTGGAAGTTTTGTGGGCTTCTACTGTTCCCTCTCCAAACTCATGCCTGGGTGAGTCACCTAATTCATACTGTCATACTAACATGATTTGACTGCTGCATATGCTTGTTTTGTTTGACTCTTGACTGCCTGCCCCCAGGAAGGGCCTTTATTTCCAACAAGGGGGATAATGCCTAGTCCAGGCAATCTTTTTGTTTAGCAGTCACAGGTGAGGGTGGTATTAGCATCTTTTTTATGTAGAAAAAATTGACAGTTAATGGGGTAGACTGGGTTGGGAAGAAATACAGTTCTTCCAAATGTGTTTATAGAAAATAAAAATATTTTTATGTGCCTTTTTATTTTTATTAAGGGGCATTGGACAGATTTCAACTTTGATTTTGTGTTCCCTTCACCTTCATTCCATCTCCTGATCTTAGAGCACCCCCCCACCACCATCCACCTTGCCATTTCATCTGGGTTTTTTTTTTCTGTTTAGTTTCTGTCTACTTAATATCTTAGCCCAGTTTATCAGTCAGTTAAGTCAGCATTTTGTAAGCCATTGTTTGAGGAGGAAACAGTGACAGTAGATAATAACACATGGCCCTTGGCATTAAGAGTCTTCAGGCCACTAGTAGAAGACAGATAGGCATCGTGGTAGATGCATATAAGGGATGGAGTGGGGGCCATGGCAGGTCATAGAGTGCTCTCAGTGGGAACCTAATTGATGATCACAGTCTGCAGAGGTGAGTCAGTCCTCACCAACTTTTCCAGGTCATTCCTAGAAAGTAAACTGCAAAATAATAAAGCAGAAATCTCAAAGAGTATGATGTGCTCCCACAATTGCAAACAGTGCTTCCTGGGTGGAGTGTTGGGTTGGAACCACTGAAAAGGTGGGCAAAGCCTAGTAGAGAATCAGTGCACCTCAGGTTATATATGGTGGGGCTGCGACAAGAGAGGATTCACACGTGGGCAAAGTAGCCCTGTAGTCTTCAAAGAATCAGTGTAAGCCACTAAAAGGAACTGAAAACCTAGGTGTTAAACAGTCTACACAGCCTCATGTAGACCAAAACACTGATCATTTTCGAGGCTGTTTCAGAAAGTGTCAGTATGATTATAATTATTTGTATTTTTTTGTGTTGTTTTTCTTTTTCTTCTGTCAGTGTGATGATCTATGTGTTTTATGGGGTAGAGTGAATTTGTCTACTTTGGCTGTAAAATATCCTAGCCACATTGTGGATAGATGCACTTTAGTTGGAAGAATAAAAAGGATCATACAGTAAAGCTTGGTATAACATTTCTCACAACCCACATACCTCTTATACTTGGCACACAAACTGCATTTCCACTTAGAAACTTTTGTCTTGTTTTTGTGTTTATTTCTTGTGGGTTTGCATGTGGATTGTTTCCTCATGCCACTGATGTTTCCAGGTGAACCGGAAAAATCCAGAATCAGAATTTGACAGGCTGACATGTTGATTTGTTCAGAATTCCAAGTGCCCATTGCCACCTCTGCTAGATAAAGCGATACCAAGGTGAAGAAGAAACTTTCCCTCAAGTTGCTGACAGCTTGGAAGGTACCAGACATAGTGGTATTTTCGGGGTTTTATTTAAGACTTTCTTGAATGAAGAAAGAAATTGCATTCCCAGGGTGGTCAGCATTAGATAGTAGTATGTTCAAGGGTTTGTATTTCAGACTCGATCTCCAAAACAGTTCAGCATAAAGAGCTCACACCTGCAGCCATGCAAGCTGGGTAAGTCAAAAGTGAGGAATGAGAATAAGTGGGTGGAAGAAGATATCCCAGGAACTTTCATTTTGACTTTAAGCCCATTGAGGGTAGGAAAATAATTTTACATCCATAATTTTGTTTCCATTTAAACAGCACTTTGTTTTTTTATATGACTTAACTCATTTAATCCACAACTATATAACGTTATCCCCCATTAAAAGTGAGCTCAGAGATATGACTCAGTTTGCTTAGTATTTTATCCTTGGTTCCCAACCTTTTCCCCAGCTTTTCCCAGTGTGTATATGGTGAATGCTTATTGCATGAGACTCATGAGAAATGCATGTCACAGACTAGAGAATAAAGTGTACCTGCAAATATGAGTGGATTTCTTTTGTCTAAGACCAAGAATAACAAACAGTAATAATTCTCAAGTCATTATCCTGTGCTTGCAATGTATACTCTGATTCAGCTTAGTTCAGCTCCTGACTGAGAAGCTGGGACTCTGCATTAGATGGCAATATAGTGGGCAGGTTTCTTTCCAAGTAAGTTGAGGTGGGACTCCTGATAGAGTAAGGAGGCTTTAATAGGGTGGTCTGGGTGCCTAAAAACGTTTTTTTTTCCCCCCCAGAGACAGGGTCTTGCTATGTTGCCTAGGCTGGTCTCCTGGGCTGGGAACTCCTGGGCTCAAGGATCCTCCCACCTTGGCTTCCCAAAGCACTGGGATTACAGGCATGAGTCACCATGCTCCGCCCTAAAAATGTTCAAAAGTCATATTTACAGGTACTCTCAAATTACTTTTTTGTGATTCCTCATAAAACCTTTCTCCCTGCAATTTGCCTTGCTATATGCAGTAGAATTATGAGGTGAAAATCTTATGGTGGAAGTCTAGGGACCTGCTCAGTTCCCCAGGAGGCTTAATATGAATTTTAGCAAATTGCTTAAGATCCAATATTAGATCTGCTGATCCCCGCCCACCCCCCTTTTATTTTTTGAGATAGATTTTCACTTTGTCAACCAGGCTGTAGTACAGTGGCACGATTATGCCTCGCTGCAGTCTCCATTTTCTGGGCTCAAGCATCCTGCCACCTCAGCGTCCTGTGACCATAGGCATGCACCATCATGCCCAGCTAATTTATAAGATTTTTTTGTGTGGAGATGAGATCTCTCTGTGTTGCCCAGGCTGCTCTTGAACTCCTGTTCTCAAGCGATCCACCCACCTCGGCCTCCCAAAGTGCTAGGATTACAGCCACTGCGCCCAGCCCCCATCTTGAAATCAATACTTGACAGAATATTAAACAAAATGAATATCGGCTGGGCATGGTAGCTCACCCCTGTAATCTCAGCACTTTGGGAGACTGAGGCAGGCAGATTACTTGAGGTCAGGAGTTCAAGACCAACCTAGCCAACATGGTGAAACCCTGTCTGTACTAAAAATACAAAAATTAGCTGGGTGTGGTGGTGAGTGCCTGTGATCCCAGCTATACAGGAGGTTGAGGCAGGAGACTCGCTTGAACTTCAGAGGTGGAGGTTGCAGTGAGCTGAGGTTGAAAATGAGAAGTTTTCAATCCTCTGTGACAATGGCTCTTGAAACCACACTTTCTTCCCACCCATTATTAACTAGAGACATGAAGGCAGGCTGAAGGGAGAGGCGTCAGAAACCTGGCGAAGTCTTTTGCAGCTGTGTGGTGTGTGCCCAGCCACCTTCAGCAGTTATTGTAGTGGCCAGTCTGTGGGTGACCTGGGCTGTCAGGGTTGGCGGACTCCAGCGATGTCCCCCAGCACATGAGCTGCCAATCAATTCAGAGAGCTTATTTTTGTTTTTCACCTTGGCCTCCAATTCCATTATGTCAATTATTATTGATTATTTAATCAGGACTTTATGGATGGATGTGCAGCTTCTTCTAATCTTTTTTTCTTTTAAGTGTTAAGAATAATCCTGACATGAGTTAACTTTAGCTATACAAATAGAGCAGTTGCGTAAAAAACTGTCAGAAGTGGAATTGCAGAGTCTAAGAGAGACTGTCTTCGGTATTTATTTTGTAAGCAAGAAAAAATTTGAGAGAGTCTGATGATTTAAGAAAATAGCAGTCACAGGAAACCTATAGACATCCTAGCTAGAGGTCTCCACCACTTTCATTCGTGGTCTATTGTGACATCCAAAGCCTGACCCAAGGAACTGATTCAGGTAGAGACAATGCCAGCTCAGTGCAGAGGGCAAGTTCTGCAGGACCTTGGCTAAGTGATTTCTGCTGCTTTTTGCTGTGGGGACTCTACTGATGGTCCAGCACAATGAGAAAGATGGAGTTTGGAAACAAATGAAGTGGTCCAGAACGATGGGACTGTTCATACCTGCTGGCATTTAGAAGGAAGTTGGTAAATTTAATCAAGAAACAAGGAAATGAAGACACCCAAGGAACAACAGGGGAAGAATAATGATTGGATTTTCATTTAATTTGTCAGACACAATTCCCGAAGTAAGAAAATAACATTTCTCACAGAATTACGGCACCAGGTCTCAAACCACCAACCCTTCGGTTCACAGCCGAATGTGCTAACCAGTTGCACCACATAAATGAATGTGGTGGAGGGTCTTTATTCCAACAAGGTTATTTAACTTTTTTCAGTCTAAACAACACATTAGAAAGGAGGCTGCTTCTCGTTGTATTGGAAAAATGTTCCCCCATTTTTTGACTTACATTGTTCCTATGTTAATGTGTTTTAGAAACAGGATTATAATTATACAGATATTATTCTTAGAGAAGAACATCAGAGTGTTAATTGAGTGGAAAGCAGGATGCTGGACTGGTGCCTGTTTTTCCAAATAAGTGAGTAGAATCAAAGCAAAGACCTCAGACAGAATTTATTTTCAGGCCCATAAGGAAGTTTTCGCTGATAGTTCAGTTGAGAGAAGCCACTGGAAGGCTGTTGCATAGAGGAGGATATATTAAATGGGAAAGACACCAGCAAGAGCAGAGGGGAAAACCATTTAGTGGAAAATCTGATACAAATATTAAGGAATACTACGGTAATTTAAGGGGTCAAACCCCGGGATAGGAAACCTGAACCACCTATACATTAGTGCTTTGTGCAGTGTTCGTGTCAAGGGTTTGAGACAGTTAGCATGACTCGCCCCATCTTGGCTGCTGGACCTATCTGTACTCCCCCCATCTCCAGGGCTGTCGAGCTGAGACAAAGGTCACGGGCTGAGTCATTGAGGCAAAAACAGAATGCAAAGCAAAGGTCTGCGGTTTATGAGGACATTGTGTTGTCTGCTTTCATGTCCCCATCAGTCTCTGTGCAAGCAATAAACTTGCTACAATTGAGATGCCTAAGAGGGACAAGAGACCCCTGCCCATATTTTCACTGGAGCTAAGCCTTTGTTCTACCTCCTGATGGAAAACAGGATTAACAAGCCACCTTAAGGGCACCATTGTTTGCTTGCACTGTGTATCTTTGAAAAACATAAACTGCTTTGTAAACTATTATCACAAGCCCCCTTAAACTGCTTTGTGAGAGGTTATCACAAGCCCCTGATCACTATTTCTATGGAGTTTCTATTTCCTTTCTGTTTACCCCTTTTCTGCTGAGATAAAGTAAATGTAACAAGAAAAAAGGTATAAAAGCTGTAACCCACAAGAATAAACTTGCTGCGTTTTGACCATAAGTTACGCAGACCTCCAGACTCTGCTTTACTTTTTTCTTTCTCTTCCGCGCACTCTCTCCCTCAGGTTGAGTGAGACATCTACGTTGGCGGTCTCGGGGACTCCCGCAGGTCGGTAGCCCCCTGGCAAACGTGCCGGACCCCAACAGTGCTTGACCACCAAACTGTGAGCCTGTCATACTTTATATTTGTGTTTTAAAGAGTAAGTTGGTGACAGATTTTATTTCATTTCGTTTCTGCCTGTCTTCCTGCTTCCTCGTTCTCTTTCTCCCTTCCTCCCATTCTCCAGTATGTATACCGTCTAATAATTTTCCTCTGGGTTTTGTTCTGAATGTTACGGTTGTTGTGCCTGTTTTTATAATTTTATTGAGCATACGTGGGTTGGAAGTACGATGATGGGTAGGGGTGGGTGGAATTTGGTGATACTCTGTACCCTATTTGTCTTTCTAGTCCTTGCAGTTACATTTAAGCCCAGGAGTCAGTTTACATTCGGATGATGTCCTCAACTTGACTATTCATTTAGTCTCCCAGCTAACAGTTATTGAGTGTCTGCTAGAAGTTAGGCAGTGTTCTAGGCACTTGGATACATCAACAGTACAATAGCAGAGACTGGGGTGGATTTTTCAAGATGAGGAGAAACACATAATAAACACAAGTAAATTGTATATGTTTAAAGGTAATAAGTTATATGAAGCAAGGAAAAAGTCAAGCAGGGTTAGGGGACCAGGGAGTGTGACGTATGTGATTTACAATATTAAACAGGCAAGTTACGTGGCCTCTTTATGATGTTTTGAAATGGCTTGTTGGAGTCTTGATATGCCCATCTTTGTCTTTAAAAGATGTCTCTCTGAGAAGCTAGGCTGAAACAGACAAAAGGGACCGGATAGGTGGTTCAACAGCAATTATGGGGAGTGTTGAGAGGAGGCACTCCCTGGGTTAGAAGATTCCAGTTAGGAAGGATGTGTCTATTATTTAGGAAGAGAGACCTCATAATCTATTTTTTTGGCCAAAAATTCTGTGTTTGCCATTGTTAAAGATTTGCTTTGGTGGCTCACTGTAGAATGCCCTTTTCTATGGATCACTATATTCCATGTTGGATTTCTGGGTGGCTTGTTTAGTTTTTTCTTTTGAATTCAATGCTACCACACACACATGTGCAGACACACACACACACACACACACCATTAAACAACAAGGCCAGTGGGTCTCTTGGCTAAGGATTCTATGGTGCATATGCAAAAAATGCTATTGATGAGAAATGTTAGATCAGGTTTCTCAAGAGTGACTAAAACTGATTAATCTGGCTGCTATACTTGGAGAGGATAATATGGATGCTTTAAACTGGAATTGTGTGTAAGTAATAAGTTAGAATATGGACAGTCTTTTTTTTTTGAAAATGGACATTCTTTCATGTGACTTAAAGCATCCTCCTATAAATCTTAGAAGTAGTTTGCCCAAAAAGAAAAAGGAAACAGTCATCCAAGATCCTTGCAAAGTATTCCTGGCTACTGCTCCCTTAAGTCCCTCCCGCCCGGTACCGCGCCTCACCCGGGGTCCCGCCCCTTCCTGGGCCCCGCCCTTCACGCGCACCGCAGCGCCTGTCTCCGTCTGCCAATCCGGCCTACCCGGCGCCTGCGCGCTCCGCCCTCCCGTGCCCACGGGCGCCTTCCCAGCTGTTCCGCCTCACTCCTTTCCGGGCGGTTGGGCCGCGCGCCTGTGGAGGCGGGGCCCAGAGCAAGCGACCGCGCCAATAGGCCGCGGCGGCCGCTGGGTCGGCCCTGACAAGCGGAGGCTTCGGTGGAGGAGGAAGGAGGCGGTGGCGCCCTTGTTGCTGATAGTGTCGGCGTTGCAGTGGGAGCGGGTGGCCTGGTAGCCGTGTGCGCCTCCCAGTTCCTGCTCTCCATCTACGCCAACCACATGGAGCGGAAGAAGGAGCGGGACCCCGAGCACCGGACCGGAAGAAGGAGCGGGACCCCGAGCACCGGACCCTCTGCAACCTGGGCCCTGGGTGAAGTGCTCCGCCGCCCTTGCCTTCAGGTAGCCGGCATTGGGGAGTGGGCGGGAGAGGCCGTGCGGGACGAGGGCGGAGGCTGGGGGTGGGGAGCGCGAGGACCCAGCGGCTGGGGAACGGACTCGGTTGGGGGTCGGCCGAGCCCAGGTCGCGCGGCGAAGGTTAAGGGGCCTCGAGGCCGCTAGGGAGGGATGAGGTGACAGAATGCAACTGGAGGCCGGGGCGGTCGGGGTGCGGTCGGGCAGGCGGGGGCCGCGCTGGGCTGGAGAGCGAGGGTTTGAGGAGGGTGGGTCCGTGCCAGCTTGACAGTTTTTCTGGTTCTCGGGAGGCGAGCCGGGGGTGTCGGACCCTGTCCCTCGCACCCGCGAGGCCAGCAGTCACCTCTTGTCCCCCCATCGCTGCAGCTGAGGCTTTGGGGCTAGCGCGGACTCGGGGCTTGCGTTTTCCAGCGTCTTCCTGGTGCCGGGACAGGTGTTTCCGTGGTCAGGCCTCTTTGTACTCCAGCGCTAGTTAGAATTTGCAGACTTCCTGGGACGGTGACATTTTCGGGCAAACACGAATTTGACCCTACTCTGGAAGAAGATGTCGGCACTTAACGTATCTGATTTCTTGGATTTCCCCCGGTATATTTCAGTGTGCCAGGAGTGGGAAATGGCCTGAGTTTAGGTCTGAGTTTAAGCTTCATTGGAGTAACGGACAACTATGTTATGTGTATGGTGGTGGTTTAGGCACTGGGACGACTTTTAAACGTTGTTGCTTATTAGTATAATAGGATACCCACAACAGATTAAAACGTTGTTGCTTGTTAGTGTAATAGGATACCCACAACAGATTAAACGGTGTTGCTTATTAGTATAATAGGATACTCACAACAGATTAAAAACACATGCTTTGCTAAACGTGCGTGATTGGTTTGTTACGGATGATTTTTTTTTAATATTGTAATTGGTTTGTTACGTTTCATTTTAAAGCATTAAATTTTCCTAGGCAAGTTGCTTTGAAAACGGGAGGAATTTACATTTTAAAGGTGGCTGCTTTTTTTTTTTTTTTTTTTTTTGGGAGGGATTAAAAACATAACAGAAGTCGAAGGAATGGTTTCAGAATTGATAGGTTACGATATTAATAGAGACTGTCTAATATTTAGATGTTTGTTAACATGTTTGTTAACAGTAGTCACATTTAAGCAATTTCTTCCCCTCCTGTCGATTGGTAAATTGGTATGTAGACAGAAATGTACAGCTCACTAGTTTGTTTATTTCAACTCACATATTGTTGATTACGTGAACAAGGTAGCATTGGAGTTTGTCTTGTTATTGGTTACAAACTTCAGGGTGTGAACTTTCCACTTAGCCTTCTGATGGACCAGATACTCTATCTCATTTGCTCTTAAACCAAAATCCTGTAGCTTTTTACAGGGGAAATAATTATCACATGGCCAAAGGAAACATTTTGAAAATGCATTTAAAATGTAGGTAGGCCGGGCCCGGTGGCTCACGCCTGTAATCCCAGCACTTTGGGAGGCCGAGGCGGGTGGATCACGAGAAAGAGATCGAGACTATCCTGGTCAACATGGTGAAACCCCGTCTCTACTAAAAATACAAAAAATTAGCTGGGCATGGTGGTGTGTGCCTGTAATCCCAGCTACTCAGGAGGCTGAGGCAGGAGAATTGCCTGAACCCAGGAGGCGGAGGTTGCTGTGAGCTGAGATCGTGCCATTGCACTCCAGCCTGGGTAACAAGAGCGAAACTCCATCTCAAAAAAACAAAACAAAACAAAACAAAAAACACCTCATAAGTACCTTTCACCTGAAGTTAGTTGAATGAAAAAATATATAAGGAAAACATTATGCAGCAGCACATTTCAGATATTTAAGAAACAAGAAGAACTAGAAGTAACTTTTGATCCTAGGTTAATTTAAGCAGAATTTAAGTAGAATTATGATCAATCTTGGATTTGTTTTTGAAACAAGTAGTCTAAAACAAATGCATCTTTTAACATTGGGGCATGGAAGGAGTACTTTACCGTATGCTTAGGTTCTTAAAATTGACTTTCTTTAAAAAGGAGAGTTTTGAACTATTTAATAAGCTTACAATCTACATATTGTCATAGTGATATGTCCTGCAAGAGCTGTGTGTTTGTGCATTGTAAAACATCAAGAAGCAAAATAAAAGTACATATAAGTACATGTAAGACTAAAGGTAACTGGATCTGTTTTTAGTTTTAAATGTGAATTTAATGTGTTGTGACTGAAAGTGTTGTTTAAGTGTGTAGCTGTGGACATAAAACAGTTTAACTTAGATGCTTGTTAAAGGATAGATAAAAGTAAGATATGCTAATAAGAGTAAATAACTTACTTGCTATCTATGCAGTGAAATTAAGAAATTTGTTCAGTTTGATCAGCCTGTTTATAAATTACTGGCAAAAATAAAGTAGTTTATAAACTACTCATTTAATAAATGAATTTACAGGTCAACTTATTTTGGAAATACTTTATAAACAGGCTGATCAAAATCACATATGTATATATACATATATAATCACATTTGTAGACTAATGTTCTTTTGGAAGTAGGTAGACAAAACATTGAAAGTTTTTGTCAAGCTAAAAGAGATGTTAAATGAAAGCTGATTATTGGACACCTCAGGTTAGTTTATTTTGAGTAGAGATTACCATGTAGCAGTACTGTAGGGCTGAGGGCCCCACAGGGTCGTGGGGTGTGCCTTATGCTGTGCTGAGGCGTAGGATCCAAAAATAAAGAGACGGGACACAGAAGTGCAAGGAAAACACAGCTGGGCTTGGGGGGCCTTGCCACCTATGAGCAGAGTCAGGCGAGGCCCCGAATGTCCAGAAGCGTGAGTGTTTATTGTTTATAAGTTAGGAGGCAGGGCAGTGAGTGAAGTCATCTTTAAGGATAGTGATAGGGTGGTGAGCAATAAAACAAGGGGTCCACTCCCATTAGGTCACTGAGGCCAGGAGGTGGACAGTAGGCAGC